AGAAACCAACCAATCAGAATCAAATCTGGGTGAGTGTGAGTAGCCAATGGGTGCCTAGGAGGCGGAACTTTTGCAGTTGACTGGCATAGAAACTGACCAATCAAAACCAAATCTGGCTCAACTATGAGGAGCCTATGGCTGACTAGGAGGTGGAGCTTTTGATGCTGACTGGCACAGAAACCAACCAATCAGAACCAAATTGGCTGGCAGAGGAGGGCAGTTAGGAAGATCAGGCCTGTAGGGGAAGACAGTTGGGGGTAAGATCAGGCTGGCAGGGAGGGCTGTTGAGGGTGAGATCAGGCTGGCAAACGAGGGCCGTTGGGGGCAAGATCAGGCCAGCAGGGGAAGGCTGTTGGGGGCGAGATGAGGCTGGCAGGGGAGGACAGTTGGGGGTGAGATCAGGCAGGCAGAGGCAGTTGGGAGCAAGATTTGTTCCGCAGGCAGAGGCAATTAGGAGAGCTCAGGCAGGCAGGCAGGTGAACACTTAGGAGCCAGTGGTCCTGATTGTGAGAGGGATGTTAGACTAAACTGGCTGTTGGACATCCCCCAAGGGGTCCCCAATTGGACAGGGTACAGGCTGGGTTGAGGGAACCCCATCTCCATGCATGAATTTCATGCACTGGAACACTAATTGTAAATAATAGTGCAATAACCATAGGGCACATATGTTCTTTCATATTGGTTTTTGGGGTTTCTTTAGATAAATTCCCAAAAGTGGGATCTCTGGGTTATAAGGCAGTTCCACTTTTAATTTTTTAAGGAAATTCCACACTGCTTTCCACAGTGGCTGCACCAGTCTGCATTCCCACCAATAGTGTGTGAGGGTGCCCTTTTCTCCATATCTTCACCAACATGTTGTTTGTTGATTTATTGTTGATAGTCATTCTGACAGGTGTGAGATGATATTTCATTGTGGTTTTAATTTGCATTTCTCCCATGATTAGTGACTTTGAGCACTTCTCATATGCCTGTTGGTCATCTGTATGTCCTCTTTGGAAAAATGTCTACTTAGGTTCTTTGTCCATTAAAAAAAAAAAATATATATATATATATATATATATATATATATATATATATATATATATATATGTATATTATTGATTTTGTACAGAGAGGAAGGGAGAGAGATAGAGAGTTAGAAACATCGATGAGAGAGAATCATCGATCAGCTGCCTCTTGCACACCCCCTACTGGGAATATGCCCGCAACCAAGGTATATGCCCTTGACCGGAATCGAACCCGGGACCCTTCAGTCCCCAAGCCGACGCTCTATCCATTGAGCCAAACCGGTCTCGGCTCTTTGTCCATTTTTAAATTGGATTCTTGTTTTCTGGTGTTGAGTTTTATAAACTTTTCATAAATTTTGGATATGAAGTCCTTATCAGATGTATTGGTGAATATGCTCTCCCATTTAGTGGGTTGTTTTTTCATTTTGTTAATGATTTCTTTTGCTGTGTTAGTTTGATGTAGTTCCATTTTTAAAATTTTTATTTTTTCCCCCTTGCCCAAGTATATCAGAAAAAATATTGCTACAAGAAATATCTGAGGTTATACTGCCTATGGTCTCTTCTTGAATTTTAATAGTTTTGAGTCTAACATTTAAGTCCTCATCCATTTTGTGTTTATTCTTGTGTGTGTTGTAAGAAGGTGGTCTAGTTTCATTTTTATGCATGTATCGTCATATTTTCAACAATGTTTATTAAATAGTCTATCATTGGTCCTACTACAGGTATTTAATTATCCATTAAATAGTCTATCATTAGTCCTAGTTTTAATTGATTTTCTGGAGAGAGGGGAAGGAAGAGATAGAGAAAAAGAAAGAGAGAGAGAGAGAGAGGAGAAAGTTGCCTCCCATACAAGGATTGAACCAGAAACCTAGGTATGTGACCTGACCAGGAATCAAACCCACAACCTTTTGGTGTATGGAATGACACTCCAACCAACTGAACCATTTGATCAGGTCCTTGAAATGTATTGTGTTTTTTTCTTCAGATATTGAATTCTTCATTTCTGACAGGTCCTTTTTTTATGGCTTCTATGTCTTTTTTCATGCTCCTGAGCATCCTTGTAATCATTGCTTTGAACTCTATATCTGGTAAATTGCTTGCCTCCATTTTATTTAGCTCTTCTTCTAGAGAATTCTCTTATTCTTGCATTTGGGTTCTGTTTTTCTGTCTCCTCATATGGCTGCTTCTTTGTGTTTATTTCTGTGTTTTAGGTAGATCTGCTATGAGACCTACCTTGGTAGTGTGGCCTCATGTTGTAGGTGTCCTTGGAACCCAGTGGTGTAGTCTCTTTGATCACATGACCTGGAGCTCTAGGAAAGTCCCTTTTGTAAGTTATGTAGGCTAACCTGTTGTAATTAAATCTTGACTGCTATTGGGCTGTTCAAGCATGGGATCCATACTTAGGCTGACTGCTGTGAGGCTTAAATCCCAACATGGCATGTGAGCTGCTGTTCATGTTCTGATCATATGATGTGGTATTCTCCTCAGCAGGCTTTGGTGTCTGCTGAGATCTTGCTTTGGATATACTTTGTGTGAAGCTTACAGGATCCTGCTCTGTTGTTATCTGAAGCTGGTCACTAGGTGTATTGCATAGGGGCCTCTTGCAGGGACTCTGATGTAGGACAACGTCAGATGTTGCCTCTGACTGGCCCTGGGAAACCTGTTTGGAGCTATGAATGATCCAGTTTGTGTCTGCCTCTGCTGGACCTGGGTGTGTGTGCAGAAAGGACCAAGTTGCACACCAAGTCTGGCCTTTTTTTTTTTATTTTATTTTTATTTTATTTTTATTTTTTTTTTTTTTTTTTTTTTTTTTACCAGCACTGAGTTTGGGAAAGGCAGCAAAGTTCTCTAAGAACCCTACTTGTTTAGTTTAGGCACTGTAAGAACCTCTGGCTGTACTTCTCTACAGGGCATAAGCTCTACCACTGAGCCAAACCGGCTTCAGCTCGATAGTGTCATGTGGCTTCTTCTATAAGTCCTTGGTGTAAGGCTTCTCTGCAGCTCTTCTTCAGGATGATTTTTCTGTAATTTAGTTGTAATTTTAGTTTGGTCTCAGAGGTGGTGAGTGAAGCTTCCACCTAATCTGCTGCCATCTTGGGTCTCAAAATGTTTTGAGTACATTTAATTATAAAACAAATTCTGTTTCCTGAAAGCTGTAGCCAGCAGCCCTGGCAGAAGAGCTTCTTTGAAGGCAGAGTGAATGACTTGAATCATTATCATTAAATGAAGTCCATAGTTTATTCAGATTTCCATAGTTTTAACCTAATCTCTGTCCTCCTCTCCCCACGACCCCCCTGTTCCACAATCCCCTGTAGGATACCACATTACATTTAGTTGTCCTGGGTTGGGGCTGAGGAGGATCCTGTAACCAAGGTAGGTGCCCATGACGTGCATGGAACCTGGGATCTTTTGGTCTGCAAGTCGATGTTCTATCCACCGAGCCAAATGAGCTAGGTCCAGGGCATGACTTATGGCTATTGATGTTGACCTTGATTGCCTGATTGAATAGTGTTTGTCAGTTTGTCAGTTTCTCCTCTGTAAAGTTTCCCCTTCTTTGGGATAGAGTATCTACATAAATTATTTGAAATACTTCTACACAGGAGATTTCTATCTTCTCTCTCATTTATTAATTTTTAAAATCATTTATTTATATCAGTAAGGGCTCCAGGAGTTTAGAAATTTTAAATGAAAAAAGAAGAAATGCCTTGGAGAATAGAGTCCTTCTTTCCCTGAATCCTTGTGAAGTCTAAAAGATGTTTGTACTTAAACTCTAGGCATTATCTTGTAGGAACAACTGAAAATATGATCAAAAGTAAAGGTACACTCAAAGAACCAGATAATGTTAATAGACATAGGTAATAGTTGCACATGTACTATAAAAGCAAACAATTTTACTTTCACAATTATACAACCTGAACAATAAAATGGCTTTTTAATTATTTAATGGCAAGAATTTCAATTATTTGGTCCAAAGTTCCTACATGACTATTACCTGTTTTTCCACCTCTCTCCCTCTTTCCTAAGTTTATCCTTTTTTTCTGCACTATATCTGGATTTGATCTTCAGTAGTCAGTCTATGCTAAGCAATCAAATGCCTCTTAGATGTCTTTCCCAAATTATGAGCTCTTTTGATATTTTATTGTAATTAATTCTCTTAATCTCTAACATTCTTCTTAAATCAAGGGACAACGTAAGTCTGATTATTGGAGAACTTATTTAACCAAGATTTAGTTATCCTACCCCTAAATTCAGGCTTATTCTCCTTGAGTCTAAGACTTGGCACCATCAATGTTAATGTTAGTGGAAGGCATCCAGCACTTGAAAGTCCTGTTTTTTTCCTCCCCATATTTCCCATGCAATAGTCTTCCAGAAAGGCCAGTAGAAACACTTTTTGTGTGTGTGTGTGTGTGTGTGTGTGTGTGTGTGTGTGTGTAAATTGGCTTAAAGAAAAAACATAATTATTTTCACTGATTTTGAAATTGCCCTATTAACATCTCATTTCTGAAAAATGGACATTGTAAAATGAGAAGAAGAGCTCTGGAATGCACACTTTTCTTTGTGATCACTTTTTACAGCTTCAGAAAGAATCTTCCGTTACTTTTGTGTAATCAGAGGCTAGATATTGAAGTATTCTCAACAAGTGAGAAATGGTCTCTCAACATTTATATTCCACATCATAAGAAGACTTTATGGCTAGACATACAACTTTATTTATTTGCATTTTCTTTTTATGACATTCCATATGTTGAGAATCTAGTCTCTAAAATGTGCATTTATTGAAGAAACCATTCAGAATGAAATAAACTCAAACAAAAGAGAAATAAAGAGCTTGATTTTGGCTTTTGCATTATAAGAGACAAAGGTTCTTGGGGGCAGAACAGCTTGATCAATCTCAGAATAAGAAGAAACCATTTATTTGGCAAATTAAATGAATGTCACCCATGGGTTAGATTTAAACTTAATTTAACAACCTCTAAAAACACTCATCGTCTCTCACTTCTTTGTGAGAAATGCAATCCATTTTATGGTGTCCTTGAAGGCATCTTTCACTTGTTTGTTGCGAAGGGTATAAATGAATGGATTGAGCAATGGGGCAACTGAAGTGGTGAGCACAGACACCACTTTATTTATGGCCACTCCTTCCTTCGCTGAAGGTTTGATGTAGATGAAGATGCAGCTGCCATAGGTGAGGGAGACCACAATCATGTGGGAAGAGCAGGTGGAAAAGGCCTTTTTCCTTTGTTGGGCAGAAGGGAACCTTAGAATGGTCTTGATGATGTATGTGTAGGAAAGCACTACGCACACTAACGTAATAATGAGTGTCAGCACGGCAAAACTCAAAACAACTCTCTCTATTAACGCTGTGTCCGAACAGGTTATTTGTAAAAGAGGAGATGTATCACAGCCAAAATGATCAATCACATTCGAATCGCAGAATTCCAGCTGGAGGCCCATGCTTAGAGGCGGGAAGATAATCAACAGGCCAGCAAACCAGCAGCAGAGAACGATTGTAGTGCAGACTCTGCTGTTCATGATGGTTGTGTAATGCAGGGGCTTACAGATGGCCACGTAACGGTCATAGGACATGGCGGCAAGGAGAAAAAATTCTGTTGCTCCAAAGAGGACAACAAAAAATATTTGGGTGGCACAAGCGTTGTAGGTAATGGTATTATCTCCAGTTATCATAGTATACAGGAATCTGGGAATACACACGGTGGTGAATGAAACTTCTAAGAAAGAGAAATTCCGGAGAAAAAAGTACATGGGAGTTTTAAGGTGGGAATCCAAAAGTGTGAGGGTGATGATGGTGAGGTTCCCAGACACACTCATCATGTAGGTGAGAAACAAGAATACAAAAAGCAGAACTTGCAGGTTTGGGTCATCTGTCAGTCCCAGCAAGATGAATGTGGTTATGGCTGTATAGTTTTTCATGCCTGCTTTGTGCCAAGTCAAATGTACTTCCACCTGAAGAGAGAAGTGTCATAAGAAGCTAGCAGCAGAATGTAAATGAAAACTCCCCAACAAGCTAGCTCACTTTATTCTTTTGCTTAATAAGCAATTTGTTAACAAAGTGCCCTTGACATTGTACTAAGAGGCATATATAGGAAATATCTAATACAGAACAAATGCTTATAATTCTTTGATTAGAAAGCACATGTACAAAGATGTCAATTAAAAACTATACAAACCAAAAAAAGTAAGTCAATTCTTCAACAATATTGCCTAGTAGTACAGATTTTGTCTTTATCATGAAGGAAATAGCCATTTTTGAAGTTTCTCCCTCCCATCCTTGTTTTTCTTTGCTTTTCCACACCCTACTGAAATGTTCCATTTTCAAAACCAAGAACGATCTGTTAATGAGTATTTTTGGGTTTTAAATAAAACTTTTTTAGAGCAATATTAGGATCACAGTAACACTGAGGGGAGATACCCAGAGTTCCCCTATACCTCCCTCTGTCACACAGGCACAGCCTTCTCCGCTAGCAATAGGCTCCTGCTGTGAGGTCCACTTGTTACAACTAATAAACCTACATGGATGCATCAAAGTCCATAGTTTACCTTATGGTTTACTCTTGGTGTTGTACATTCTATGGGTTTGCACAAAGTTTTAATTAGTATTTTACATTAATAATCTTCTATTGTTATGCCAGATGTTAACAGCGGCACATTCATTTGAAAGTGTTTTACTCTTTGTCATTTAAATTATCTCTAGATTGAGAGATAAAAAGTTTACAATACAGATATATCTATGTTTTGTTCGCCCATAGTTAGGCAAATGAAAGTATGTCTGACTGAGCCTCTTGGGGGACGGCTTATCCAGTGGGTTTCCTGAAGTGGCATAAAGAAATGTTTTGAAACCTGTGGTTTTGAGATAAACCACAATTCGTCCCACTCTGGAGTGAGCGCTGGGGCGTGGACGGAGCCCAGAGAGACTGACCCGAGGCTGTGCTTTCTTTGGCAGCCTGGCCAGCCCTGTGCTCTCCACAGCATTCAGCCCTCAGAATCTGTCTCGGGATATATCTTAGTGACTTCTGTGAATAATTGCTGCTGCCCTCCTCCTCGAGTCAGCTCTCCCTACTAATTTACCAACCAGCTATGCTCTCTGAGTTAAGAAAACAACAACACATTTTTATTCATTTCAGAGAGGAAGGGAGAGGAAGAGAGACAGAAATATCATTGAGGGAGCATCATCCACAGCTGCCTCCTGCATGGCCCCTGCTGCGGATCAAGCCTGCGACCCTGGCATGTGGCCTGACCGGGAATTGAGCCGTTACCTTCTAGTTCATGGGCTGATGCTCACCACTGAGCCACCCTGGCAGGGCTGTCCTAACTTTTGACACGGTAACTTGCTGAAGCAACATCCAGGAACAAGCGAACACACTTGAGCTAATCTTTGTAAACAAACAATACAGAGCCCTGTTGTACTTTCTGTTTTTCTCATGGCATATATCGCTGTCCATTTCAGTGCTTCCTGGGAGTTTTAAGCCTCCCTGGTATTCTAAGTTACATTTTTTCAGGAATCCCATAGAGGCTCAGGAAATTCCCCGTCTTTCATGTCAAAACTTACCCTCATTGAGATTCATATTTCAAGCAACTACTCTCAGGTACTCATCTGTAAAAGAAGACCTGGTAAGTGCATTCTCACTGGGCATATCAGTAGTTCATAATAACTCAGCCTATTGTCCTATAGTATGTCTCTGTGTTTTATTAGGGAGGATTAATTGTAAAAAACTACCTGCTCTTGCTGCAGGTTAGGGAGCTGGGTGAGTGGTTGAGATTCATTTCCTCCTTTCATTGATTTCCTATTGAGTAGCTGTTCATAGTTTCCTATGTTCACTCAGTGTCTCTCAGTTCTTTTCTTTTTACTAAAGTTGTCAATGCCATCTGTCACCACAAGCTGAGTTGGCAAAGTGCATATCACAAATATGATTTTGGAACAGAGAAAAGCTTCCCTTACCATATACTTATCAGGGGAAGACTCTGATAGGCCAGATTAAATGGTAGGCCAGATTTATCCCTGCACTCCTGATTTCCCTCTCTCCCATGGTAGAAGAATTAAATCCTTGTACTGGCTACTGGCATTGCTAACTCCAGCTCCCCTGGGCCTATGAAGTTCCTAGAATCTAAAATTACCCCCTGCTTCTCTTACCAAAACTCTGGTTCTTCTGTATTGGTAGGAAAGACCGGTGAACTCAATCATGATAGCATTTTCAAGATCATGAATTTCATGTTTCAAAATGGCTAATGTAATGTGTGTGAACCTTTAGCAGCATTGTGTTTTAACTCATGAAGCTTGTTAAACAAACACTACATGTAGTAATAGAATTAAGCCTGTGGTGGCAGCTCCTTTGGACATATAAATCTGCTTCAGACGAATTCAAACAACTTCAAAGAAATTGCTGGCCTTTACCAGCAACCATAGTGATGGTCTCTCTTATTTTGGGAAAGTTTTCCTGGGAGAACGGGTTATTTATTTATTTTGAGATTGGGTCAATTAAAGTTTAAACAATTTCATTACATAAACAATTTCATTACATAAGTAATAAATTTCACTGCCTCCCTCCCATAAGCGGTGTTAATTAACATTTTAACTAACATTCATAGGTAGGCCTTGATGATTTAACCCGTACAAAACTACCTGCTCTTGCTGCAGGTTAGGGAGCTGGGTGAGTGGTTGAGATTCATTTCCTCCTTTCATTGATTTCCTATTGAGTTAATGAAAATATATCTGAGGCACTCCGACCTTACCTCTGTTTGGAACAAACCTCATTCGGTCTTCATTGGGTCACGCTTCCTGTGGGCAGGAGAGTAGAGATTTAAGAAGAGTGAATGCTGTGCCCCCAGTGTCTTACTTCCTGAAAAAAAAAAAAAAAAAAAGGCAAAAAGGACGTAAATAGCAGATGGAAAATAAGATGAGGTTCCCTGTTAGATAATTTATAAGCCGATATCATTTAATTTCTGGGAAACCAGTGGATGTTACTGATTGGTGATGTCTTATCCATCACCTTCTATTATTCTGGCTCATCTTCCTCAACGCACAGTTATGACTGACTCTTTCCAAGGCGAAGGTGACTACGGCAGCAAATTCTAATTTTATGTTCCCTAAGAATAACAACATGTCAGAAGGACTGTTAAATCCCTTTCTTTAGTGCCAGTGACAATGACCTGAATTCCAGATTTTAAAACTGACTGTATTCATCCTCCGCCTATGTTTAGAGAATGAGGAAAAATATGTCTCGACAACAATATACTTACTTTTCTTTAAAACAATACATTTTTTTTAATTGAATTCAGAGAGGAAGGGAGAGGGAGAGAGAGAGAGAGAGAGAGAGAGAGAGAGAGAGAGAGAGAGAGAGAGAGAGAGAGAGAGAGAGAGAAACATCAGTGATGAGAGAGGATAATTGATCGGCAGTCTCCCACACACTGCACACTAAGCATCTAGCCTGCAACCTGGGAATCAAACTGTGACCTTTTGGTTTATAGGTCGACACTCAGCCACTGAGCCCTGCCAGCCAGGCTATACACTTACTTTTCTGACAGATCTGCATGAGGCCCTTGATGGAACCACAATCTGAGGAACACTCAGTTTGTGAGTTTTATGTGTTCTTCTGCTCCCGGTCTCACATGCCACCTATTTCCACACCAGGCTCACCCTCCACACAGGCATGTGTGTGTGTGTGTGCACGCGCGCATGAGACAGAACTCTCGTAGATTTGTATATATCTGATATAATTGAGCCCAGTCTCAGCCTCCTCTTCCCATACCAAGTCTAAATGCCATCTGTTCCTAGATTTCTCAGTTACTCTGTTCAGAGGAAGGAAAGAGTGGTGCAGAGATAAGGAAGGTTTCTCTCTAGCTTTGTCAGAGGGGCATTTCTGAATCTCCTGGGCAGAGGCAGGCTTCCCTGCAAATTGTATAACAGCAACATTTCTTTTATATGTTTAGTCTGCTACCAATGCACAGGGAACATGGGAGTGAACAACCAAATAGTCCTTGGTGACCCCGTTTCAAAAGTTACTAATGAGCTGACAGTAGTTTAATCAGCAGTGTAAACACACACGTAGCAATGGGAACAATGTCCTCAGAGACATGGAAGGTGGCCTGATGTCATCTGAATTCCATTTTGATCTCTTTGTTGAATCTTTATAATTCTCCTAGAATTAGACACTCTATTTGGCATTTTATATATCCCATATAATAAAGAAGTAATATGCAAATTGACCTTCATGCCCTCACACAAGATAGCTGTCCCCATGTGATCAAAGATTGCCACCACAAGATGGCCAGTAGGGGAGGGCAGTTAGGGGTGACCAGGCCTGCAGGGGAGGGCAGTTTGGGATGACCAGGATGGTAGGGGAAGTCAGTTGAGGGCGATCAGGCCTGCGGAGGAGGGCAGTTATGGAGTATCAGGCCTGCAGGGGAGGATAATTGGGTGGGGAACAAGCCTATAGGGAGGGTAGTTGGGGGTGACCAGGCTGGAAGAGAAGGGCAGTTGGGGGAGATTGGGCCAGCAGGGAAGCAGTTAGGTGTCAATCAGGCTGGCAGAGGAGAGGTTAGGAGTGATCAGGCTGGCAGGCAGAAGTGGTTAGGGTGAATCAGGCAGGCAGGCAGGTGAGTGGTTGGGAGCCAGCAGTCCCAGATTGGAGAGGGTGCAGGCTGGGCTGAGGGACACCTCCCCTGCAGTACACAAATTTCATGCACTGGGCCTCTAGTATAATATAGTATTTATCTTTGGTGTAAATCTTAGTAAAGTAAAAAAAAAAAAAAATCCCAAATTACCTATTTTACATATGAGGAAACTGAGGAGCAGAGAAATGACTGCACAAAACCACCAATTAACCAAAAAATGCGAACAACAAAAATCCAGAAAAAAGGGGGAAATTGAATCTGAAGAGGCAGAGCTTATTTCCAGAGGTGAGGTAAAGGAATTG